TCAAGTGATTCTCCTGCCTCAGCCTCCCGAGTAGCTGAGACTATAGGCACCCACCACCACACTCAGCTAAGTTTTGTATTTTTAGTAGAGACGGGGTTTCACTGTGTTGGCCAGGCTGACCTCGAATTCCTGATATCAGGTGATCCACCCGACTCGGCCTCCCAAAGTGCTAGGATTACAGATGTGAGCCATGGCGCCTGGCCCTAAATACGAAAATCTTGAAGGTGAAGGGCAGAAGTTAGCTCAGTATCTTGGCTCGAAAGCCGTCTAGAGCTGCTGGGAGAAATACTTGAGTTCTGGCCCGGCACGGTGGCTCACACCTGTGATCCCAGCACTTTGGGAGGCTGAGGGGGCGGATCACCTGAGGTCAAGAGTTCGAGACTGGCTTGGCCAACACGGTGAAACCCCATCTCTACTAAAAATACAAAAATTAGCCGGGCGTGGTGGCACGTGCCTGTAGTTCCAGCTACTCGGGAGGCTGAGGCAGGAGAATCGCTTGAACTCAAGAGGTAGAGGTTGCAGTGAGCCGAGACTGCACTTCTGCACTCCAGCATAGGACACAGAGCAAGACTTCATCTCAAAAATGAAAACAAGCAAACTAAAAAACTCTTCCAGCTTTTTCGAAGGTACATTTAGATCCATGGCTGTGGACAATCTAAAGCATGTTCTGCTCTGCGCAGCCTATGCAGCTACAAAAAACCGAAATTGCTGGAGTTTGGCAACATAACTTTCAGGTTCCCCTTTAATAGCTAAGTCAGCCTTGCAAAGAGTCTACTGGGATAGTATGAATGGAAAACTGAAGGGAACTCACTCGATTTTTTAGGCCATACTGCATTTTAAAGCTTAAGTTATTTGAGTCATCTTCTCCATCATCTAATTTGCATGTGTGCTCAAGGATGCGGGATCCCTGGCAACATCAACTTCCTAAATTGTTAATGTTGGTTGGTGTCAAACAAAATCCGATCTCAAAGCTGTTTGGCTTCACTTGGATTTGAAGGGACTGTTTGTTCAAAGCTCATGTTCTAAACCTGTTTGCGATTTTTATCTAAAGTCAGATTGCTATGGTTTCAGCACATTCCAGTTTACTTAGCAAAATTCGGCCCTTGTGAAATTGGCTGCAAATGAAGTACCTAATTCCAATTTTAGGCATAATCTGATTAGTACTTTTCATATTATAATAATGAGCAGTGAATACTCAGCATTTAAAAAATTTTGGCTCAGAATGAAAACCAAGCTCTTTCCACTTCATCATTCTGTACCTTTCCAAAAAGAGAGGATGGCTTTTGAGGTATATTGCCATACAACACCCTTATTAACAGGCTGTTGCTTGTTACAATTTACATAAACCAAGTGTACATCCCTCTGGTATATATCCCAAAACACTCAACAACTTCAGTGAATTTATCCCAACCAACGAGCATGTTGAATTTTTTTTTCTTTTTGGTATTTTCAGGGTGAAATATGTGACTGTGCTAGCAAACACGCCCATGCCATCTGTTGGGTTGGGAGGAAGGCAGTTTCTAAGAACAATTAAGTTTAGTTCTGGGCGTTCAGTTCGAGAGAGTCACAGTCCACCCAGTTGTGAAAAGAAACAAATTCTGTTCATTTTATTCTCTCACTTGTTCCCTCTCTCTCTGCAACACACACTGTACTTCTTGCTAACAGCGCGCTCAGCTCTCTCTCATCTCCACCACCTCGTCCTTCACGCTTCACACTTTCCTTCTTTTTTTCTCCCTTTCTTTGGCTCCTGGTCGGCTCTGACCATCCCTCCAATATCCATCTTAGGTGGATTAGCAACAGGCTGTCTGGCTGAGCCGGCTCTCAGAAGGGCTCTCAGGGTGATCTCCTACGATTATTGGGAGGTAAGTGCTTCCGGGAGAAAGGAGAAAAAGGAAATTAAGGTAAAAGAGGCCACCCCAAAAAGAGCTTTTATGGGGGCTTTTATATTCTGGGAGCAATACAGGTTGCTTAAAATGAGGTTTCAGAGGGACTGCGTTCTAAATATGTTAATGCTACAGGGCAACCTTGGTGAGCCACTCTCACTGTGGAATGAACTTGTCCCCCAAGATCTGACAAGCTGGAGATGACTGAATAATGGAATTAAGGCCTTTATCAACAGTTACATTGGACCTTTGAAGAGACTAAGTACCATAGTGCGTTCTGGATCATGTTTGATTCCAGAGGTGGACTCTGCCCAGGTCATAGAGGAAGTTGGCACAGATTACAATCTTTGCAGGCCCCCATTCTAAAACATGGTGTTCCCAAAGTTGCCGCATTCAATCGCTATTTCGTGCCATGCTGCTCAGTGCAGTGGACCAGTGGCTAATAAACTTGTCCTTATCCATAAGCCACCGTATTATGTGACTCTGTCTGGGCCAGGAACCAAGGCGTGCTATGATTTCAGAGACTGGATTCCTATCACCTGGGGAAGAGACACGCTCTGGTGACGTAAGAAAGCGGAGAAATCAACCATCACCAAAACCTGCAGACTCTGAAATTAAAGGAGAAAATATGCGTGCAGTTGGTTCAATTGGCACCCATTAAAGCTAATAACTAATCATCCTCGCAAGTTTCTAGCTCAGAATGATCAAATCTGCAAAGAAAACAACATCCGTCCACTTTTACACTCCAGTGGAAGAGGTGGTCCCTCGCGGCAGGGCGGCACAGTCTCGCCATCTGGAGAATAAATCGAGTGTGAAGTACAGTATAGTTTGGGACCAAGCTCCGTGGCGGCAGCTCAGCAGTCAGTTCATTAGTTCCAAACTTCCAGGGATTAGAGCGGCATCAATTCTACTGTCGGATAGGATGAGACAGACAGGATACGAGATTCAAGGGGGACTGTGACAACCAAGAGGAGCCCCTTGGGCTTATTTATAAAACTACAAAGTATAAACATACCCAAATAAGTGCCTTAAATAATAGCATTATCACAGTTTCATAACATCTGAATTATCACCTTTCCCTTCGCCTCCCAGCCCCCGACTCAAACCTTGAATGTTAATGTATAGTTGTTTTCAGAGGAAATGGCAGAGACAGCCCTGGGGGCAACAGGAACAACGAGAAAGCTACGTGCAACCCAAGATTTGGTAATTAAGAAATAGGAGAGACTTTCTAGACTCCAGGGAG